ATGTACAAGTGCTATTTGTTTTGACCAAAAAATTAAAATTTCAAGAGAACGTTTACGTTGGATTATTTTTCACAAGTTTCGACGTGGATTATCTCAACAAGAATGTGTCGATGAACTCAGTTCCTTGTATGGCGATGAAGCACCATCAAACATCACAGTAAATCGCTGGTATAGTGAATTTAATCGTGTTTGTAGTTTGGTCGACGACGAATTCCATGAAGGTCGTCCAAAATCGATTGTTGTGCCAAGAAACATCGATGAAGTGCGTGAACTGATAATGCAAGATGGTCATGTGACACATTGTGCGATAGTGGCATCCTTGCTCATTACTTCCACTTCAATACATTCGATTCTGCATGACAAGTCAATTGTGAAAAAAAAATGTTCTCGTTGAATAACCCATAATTTATCAATAGCTCAAAAAAAGACTCAAGTCTCGAGTCAACAACCATGGTGCTTCAACAGACGTGTATGAAATCGTGACACATGACGAATCATGAATATATGCGTATGAGCCGGTAACGAAACAGCAATCGACCGTGTGGGTATTCCAAGATGAGCTAAATCCAACAAAAGTTGTTCGTGGGAGAAGCACAGCAAAGCAAATGCCTGTTTTTTCGACCGAATGGGTCATGTGGCCACCGTTCTGCTTAAGCAACATAAAACAGTCAATTCTGAGTGGTACACGATTATTTTTTGCCGGAAGTCTTTGGAGAAATTCGTAAAACTAACCACTGAAGCCGAATCATTCTCCATCATGACAATGCGAGCTCTCACGCATCTCGTCAAACAGGTGAATTTTTGAACAGTCAAAAGATCAAATTGATGACTCATCTTCCGTACAGTCCTGATTTGGCATCCAATGACTTCTTCTTGTTCCCGAATATCAAAGGTAAACTGCGTGGTTAACTTTCTGGTTGAAACGTTTGGAGATTGTAACCAAAGAAGACCAGGGCAAAACCCGGAAACCAACCAAAACACCTGTGAAAGCCTTCATTCCTATATAGTATGGTCAACGATGTGCCGAAGAAGCAGTTGAAGCGTTCAAAAACCAGGTTTTGAAAGTATCTCAAGAGGAATGTACAGATCTTCAACAGAATGATCACTGGGAACAACTGATAGAAATTCACGTTGAAATTTTTATTCAGAACGATAAAAATGACTTCAGTTATGTTGGAAAATTACTCTTTGTATTGAATTATTCCGTATCCGCAGGCATAATTTTAATAAGCAATGTACTTTTCATTTAGAATTGAATATTGATATTAAACATGTGTGAAGTCATAACGTTTCACTTCATGGTTGGGTTAGGTTAGGTCCAAAGTGAGTGGGCCTATTCGACGCTCCACCGCAACCCGCAAGAGTTTATTGTGGCTCACACCTTTTGACACTCGACCAAATAAACCCAGCTTCTCAACGAAGCCGATTAGTTTGTATGGTGAGTGGTCTTTCATGTCAGATGGTGAGAGTACGGCTCTGCCGAACTCTAAAAACCTGATTCGATCCCTAGTGGGGCAGGCTCAAAGTATGTGCTCTGCTGTTTCATCATTTTCCAAACAGAGGCGGCACACACTGACTTCCGACAGTCCGAGTTTATGCATATGATGATTCAAATGACAGTGACCTGTGTCGTAGTTCATCTCTACTGTAGTCCAACAGCTGTTTGGTATCAAGCTTCGAAGGGTGAATAAACGCCTTGGAGTGAGCCAATCCTGGAAAATTCTGCCAGAAGTCCATAAACCTTCTTATCATGATGTTCAATCTTTGTTTGGCAAAGCCTAAAGCGATGCCAATGACAGGTTCTGGCCAATATCCATCATCACTCCACTTCATGGAGTGATGATGGATATTTCCGCCGACAGAAATGTTTGTGCAATGTATTGATCCAATATGAAATCAATGCGTGTAATTGTAAGCGCCCTTTTTCTGTTCATTCTTGGATGGACATGCGCAATTGAATACCCGACATGTCTATCAAGATATATCTGCGTTTTCGTCTAAAATAAGTGAAGATGAGTATATTTTTGCGAAATTTCAATAGACGATTGAATGTATAGTTATCTCCTTATACATTATAGAGTATTCTTTCATGAAAAGTATATCCTAACAACCTCATATCACCTATTATTCAATTTCATATTTGTGATAAATAACATGTTAGTTGATTTTTGAATGATCACAAAAGAAATTTTGAATCACCATACAATGAATACTAATCTTACAATAATGATACTATATTTCCAAGATTTCTAGGAATAGATTAAAAGCAAAATTTATCACTACTATTAGTTACATTTACACAAAAAGTCGAGTGTTTCAAATCACTTTGGTGAACAGAAGCTATTCCAAAATCGTCTGGAAAGTTGAGGTAATAGAAAGATTGTTCGGTGATCCCTGAAATTACTCTTTCGAGCAATGAGCTATATTTTATTGGAAACTTCAGATTTATTGCATTCATAGAAAAGAAATACATTCTGAACATAAAATAATAGGTATACCTTTGGAAAATGTGTGGAGATTACTTTTTCTGGAAAGGTGCCTTAATCAAAGCGTTCGCAGAAGTTATCAAGGAATTGTGGTCGGAAGATTCATCTGATAGAGTAATAAACATTGCTTACTTGAAAAGTCAGATTCAAAAATTTGTCCCTCGATTCATGGGATCTGCCCATCAAGACGCTCAGGAATTTCTTTTCGATATCTTTTAGAAGGTTTACATGAGGACCTCAATAGAATTACTGAGAAACCTGAACCGATCTTAACGGAGATTGACGAAAATTTGAGTGACACCGAAAAAGCGCAAGAGTCCTGGCAGAGATATTTAAACATAAACAACTCCAAAATTGTAGACATTTTCGTTGGTCAATTAAAATCCACTATGAAGTGCTCACACTGTGGACACTCTTCAGTAACCTTCGATCCTTTCTGGGATTTGTCTCTCGACATATCACAAAGAACTGACCAATTGAGTTTGTCACAATGCCTACATTTCTTCACAAGAGAGGAAAATCTGGATGGAGATGAAAAACCAACGTCTTCGAGGTGCAAGGAAAGAAGAAAATGCACAAAGTCCCTATCAATCCATAAATTTACCAGTATTTTAGTAATTCACTTGAAAAGATTATCTCCAACGGAAATATTCAGAGACAGATTGAATGTTATCATCGCCTTTTCTTTAGAAGGATTAGATATGAGCAATTATGCAGCAGACAATGTGGCCCCTTGTCGTTATAATCTATATGCACTTTCGAATCACAGTGGGAGTACAACGGCCATTACACAACATATTGCAGACACCCTTATAGTGGCACGTGGCATGAATACGATTCAAATGTGTGCCCAATTTCACCTAATTCGCTTGTGAGTGAGGAGGCATATGTCCTCTTTTATGAACAGGAGAGAACGAAGCAGCACTTTTGAGGTGTTTTTTTCTCTTAAATTCTGTTAATTGATTTGTATGTTCTATTGAGTCAAAATTATTATACTTTTTCTGGAATAAAAATGTAAGAATTATCTATGAAGTTAACACATTTTTATGTGATTTGGAAGGACGTTTCTAAAGAACACTGATTGGTCGAATGTTATATTGCACGGTGTGGAAAAATATGTGACAGGGATATATCTAATAACTGGGCTGAAGAGTCCCGGGTCGTAAAAAAAAACGATTTTTATTTGTTCAAAATGTTTTGCAGGTGAGCATTTCTGTCTTCTGTCAGGTCTGCGAACGGGCAGTAGTCGCTGGAAGCCAAACCTGGTGAATATGGTATATTTATGTAGGAGCAATTCGAAACCCATTTCATGCAATTTTGCAGTCGTTTTCAATGATTTGTGACACTGTGTATTGCCTTGATGTCTATTTCTTCAAATGGGGTCGTTTTTCCGCAATTTAACCTTTCAAATGCGCCAATAAAGCTATATAATATTCACTGGTCAAGATATTCGACGAATATTACACCACGCATATCCCAAAATACCGAGGCTATAACCTTTCTAGCCGATTGTTGTGTTTTCGGGCACTTTGGACCAGGTTCACCAGGTGTTTCTCACTCAGATGACGATCGTTTTAATTTCGGATTGAAGTGATGTATCCATATTTCATTCACTGTCACATATCGACGCGAAAATTCCGGTTCATCATGTTTGAACATGGTCAAACATTGCTTTCTCATAATCAACAAGTTTCATCTCACAACAGTGGTCAAACGGATTTTCAGAAAGTTTTTTGTTCATCACGTGTATGTTGTGAATACCACCAGTTTGGTCTATTATGAAACTGAATTCTGGGTTTTTCTTTTTCTTTGTTTTTATATCATCAGTTGTATTGCACAGTTGGTTGAAATTGATTTGTTGGTGATTGGTTCATAGAAATTTGATGGATAGTCATTTGCGTGATATTGTTTTGATAAAATTTAGGTTTTTGGTATGTTTATGGTGGAAAATTCTGATGGCTAGGTTTGTTACGCTCATCATAATACTTTTCTATTACAAATTGTTGCATTCGACTAGAAGTTTGAATAACTTTGTGACCAGATATTCTTTTTAAACCAATAGGTCTCAAATTCTCCGTGTTAGTTGTTTTTCAGAGTCATATTCAGAAAACGTAAACGTAAACGTAAACGGAGTTGATATTTTCTTTTTTCGAGGATGGATACAAGGATGGAAGGATCTCAAAGATAGGGATACATAAAATAAAATTGTAGACTTATCGTTTGCAGAAGTGAGATATGTAATCAAGAATTGAAATGATTTTCCCTCAAGTAACCAAGTTTGCAACGGTTGATAAAAGAGAAGATCCCATGGCTGTACTAAAAATTCTGACATATATTGTTATTTGTGAAATATGAGGAATTCAGCGAAAATCTTACACCTGATGTTTCTGACCAATTTGACCTAGAATTTCAAGGTAATTTCACCAGAAGGTAGAAATACAAATGCACGGAGCCACCAACAGGAGCCAACCGCACATTTGTGGTTTAGTGTTTAAATAGTGTTTCTATAGCCCACAGAGATTTGAATGAAATACCTGAAATAATCTATCGATAATTATACTACTTAATCATATTTATATAAATTGTTACATTTCACGATATATTTTCTCGTAAACCATTAGACCTCTCTTGTAAAATTCATGGATTACGGCAAGAATACAAAATTTCCAACTGTACGCCCATGGATATAGTTATTCAGCACCAGTTTTTAGTCAAACCGAAAGGGTGTTTTGCATATATTGGACGGATGCCAGTTTACGCGTAGCATAAACAATCCCGAACTTGGACTCAAGGCTTTTTATGTTCGTGAAATTAGTAAATTTATGGAGTGTTTTGCTTCAACCACCATGAAATGTATTAATCCCGAATGTGAGGGTGTGGTATGCCTGAGATCCTATATTTTGTTTTTATTTTTCAGATGTGTTTACGACCGTGATAGATAAAGAATGTTCCTCCACAAGTTGAATAAAAACTTAGATATATGCGTCCTGGAGGATATTATTTCCTGGAATACTTCCTGAATATATTGTTTAACTTCAACGAAGTCAAAAACTGGAAGTTTGGAATGATAATAAAAATACACAGTTGGGGTGGTTTATTATTTATACACTCTCTAGTCCATGGAGAATAGAACTTTTTTGGAGAGCCCCAGTTTTCAGTTATTCACAATACAGAATTCATTACAGTTAACGAGTTAACTTGAAGTTCAGCTGTGTTCTTATTTTTATAAGGAAAAGACGCTCGTAAGTTCGAATGGAATAATATAGTGCACAACTTGTTTTTCAATGGTTGATTGATATGATTTTATCTGCAGAGGCAACCTCTGATGTAATTATAAAATAACAACTTTTACGTCATAAAAAATAATAGTCAGCAACAAATATTAGTGATAATAGACAGGTTGACCCCTTTGAAAAAGACCTTTACTTGTCTATTAATGTGCCTATGCGACTGTATTTCAAGCGGAAATTTACGCTACTGAATTGTATGTGGAGATATTGGTGGAATTCAACCTCGTACAAGTCAATGAAAATATTCTCGGCAAGATTGCCTCAAGTCTGGATTCCTGGCCATACTGGCCTGGAAGGCAATGAGGCTGCTGACTCCCTTGCAATGGAGAGTGCTGTAAGTAGCTTCATCGGACCAGAACCTGTCATTGGCATCGATTTAGGCTTTGTAAAGCAAATATTGAACACCTGGATGGCAAGAAGATTTATGGACTTCTGGCAGAATCTTTCAGGATTGGCTCATTCCAAGGCATTCATTCACCCTTCGAAGCTTGATACCAAACAGTTGTTGGACTACAGTAGGTATGAACTACGATGTCTAACAGGCCTTCTTATAGGTCACTGTCTTTTCAATCATCATATGCAGAGACTCGGACTGTCGGAAGATATCGTGTGTCGCCTCTGGTTGGAAAATGATGAAACATCAGAGCACATACTTTGTGCCTGCCCGCTTGGGACCGAATCAGGTTTTTAGAGTTCGGCAGAGCCGTACTCTTACCATCTGACCTGAAAGACCACTCCCATACAAATTATTCGGCTTCGTTATGAAGCTGGATTAATTTGGTAGAGTGTGAATAGGTGTGAGCCGCAATAAACCCTTGCGAGTTGCAGTTTGGACCTAATCTAATCTAACCTAACCTAACTTCAATTGCAACTGATATCGAATATTTCATGTATATTATGCGTGCATGTGATCATAGAACACTCACACCACACAATTGGCTACCGTTCAACATCTTTATTCATTGTAACATACGGTTTATAGGACATTTTTGCTAGTATCCATTGTCGAAAATAATGAAGAATAAAATCTGAATAACTACCTCATTCGTATTTGCTTGGATGCATATTGCTTTTCGAAGAAGTTGGAACTGTTGAAACTGTCCGGCCACTGAAGAAATATCTTGTAATAACAAATATTATATTTATCTTCCAAACTTTAACGAACATACAGTTACAGTTGAGGAAAGTTCAAGGGTATACTGCGATGGGTTTTCATACTTTTGCTACTTTACAACTGCCAAAACGACGACGATCCAAACTTTACAGTAGCCCATTGTTTCATATCATGTTGGGGCCATGCGCTTAAAAATTGTCAATTTTATAAAATATCGAAGGTCTTATATCCACCTGCTCTTGATCTATCACCACTCTATCAATTAAGCCATAGAAAACGATTGATTTGATAACAAGTAAAATTAAGAATACTTCATAGGATATACGGGTTGTTACCACAAATATTATTGTCCTAAGCCAATGTTTGTTCTAATGGTGAAAATACATCTTCAGTTCATTGAAGAGTTTGAGCTTTGGATTTATACTTTGAACCCTGCGTGAAATTAGCCAGTGCTTCCTTGTTAGTATCAACATTGGGTTCTTCCTATGGACGCTAGCTATGGATCAAGCTAGGACTTCTCGCTTGAGTTTTGTCGTGATCTCATAATTCTTGTCCTCAAAAATGACAACAAGGTTGATGGCATCACAGTCAGTCGTTAAAATTTGCTCATAGATGTTTGCTATTAGAACTTTTGACAACTCTAAGTACTGGCAGCTCTTTTTCTTTTGAGATGAATTCAATACACCATCACTCCAAGATATCGAGATGTAAAGGAATCTGAACTATTGAGATCCTAATAGACATTGATGAAGGCTCCGCGATCTATGAAGACTATATAGAAAATAATAAAATGGCATCTGGTGTATTATATAAAATCCAAACGATAATTACTTTCATTTTAAAAGGTGATATTAACATTTCCTTAATTAAATTGCATTACAAAGGTTTAAACAATAGTTTTCGTCCTTGAATTATTACCTTCAGAAAACGAAAAACATCGACGTCTATGACACAAAATTCAGTTGAAGCCGACTTCAGCGTGATGAATATTCAGCAGTGTGGCTGATCGGATCCAAATCAAATGACTCGACACTTCCGTGGAATTTTAAACGGAGACGCATCCGTTCTTAATTGTTACCAAGTTTTCCGGCAGAAAATGATTAGGAAAAGTTTGAGTCTGAATGAATTTCAGACGGTTGCCATCGCCCTTCTGTTTGTTATAATTTTTGCTTCAATTTGCGATCCAGTTATTCTTTATTAAAAATTTCAGGCTGGTTGTGCATCGGAGTCAATTGAATTTTGAATGGTGCGAAGGAAAAACATGTATAATTGGAAGATATTATTCTCGTTGAGGGAGGCGGAAAATGATGATACTTTTGAGGATTGAGAAAATAATATCATTGAAAGTTTGAAAATGCGTGTCTGAACAAAATTGAGGGTTGCCATATACCCTCCTCGAATTTTTCAATTCCATTCAACCGTTAATTCAATCCAACAATGAAATGAAGGTGGATAAATCAATCAATTTTGTAGACATGACTATTACATTAATTCATAATGAACTTGATTTCACAACTTTCCACGATCCATCTTATATGAACATTGGCAAACCTAATTTCTAGACAGATTCCTATCAACATATATTAGCAGCATTCTATAGTATGCTTCACAAACTATTTCAAATATTCCACTGCCAGGAAGTAATTTTATCAAACAAATTGCTGTCAACAACGATCACAAGGCATATATCGATGACTTAAATATTTCCTAAAAACTTTTGAAACAAGAAACCTACATGAAACAATAGTTTCATGAAGTGCGATTCTTTGGTGAATAACATCTTTTTTTTGTGATAAAAAAGACTCGGATGTAGTTTGCAGAACAAACAATATATTTTGGGCAAATTTATTGAGAACAATAAAAACAAAACTTAGTGTCGCTTAAATCACTTGTGGTTCTCGCCCGAAATTTTACATTGGCCAAACGAAAAGAACATTTCTCCAAAGAATAAAAGAACGTTGGAGTAGTTTCTTCAATGTGAAAGACAATTCCATATCGACTATGACGTGTTACATTTGGAAAATGAAGGTTTGTAAGTCAATTTTTTGGAATAGATGCGAAAATTCTGAAAATTTACTGAATGTCCGAATCGAATTGAGTACTTTCCTCCTATTGAATCCTCCAGGGCGATGACATCTTCACTTAAGAAGACGTCATCTATGGGATCGACAGAGAACACAATCCTTGAATGTCGAGGCTCTCCAAAGCGGTCAGTTGCAAAGTCAAGCTTTGACATTGACCGTCAACGAGATCATTGATGGCAGGTTTTACACCCTGCTGTAATTATAATCTGTAGCCAAATATCAGTTCGCTATACTTCGGAAAATACTTTGATAATTTTTTGTAGCCTTATCCAATGTTGAATATTTTCGAAAACAAAGTCAATGCATCCGGGATTTATCTAAGCCTCTGGTGTCATTCATGTTTGAGGATCGAAACATCTGCAGTGAGATCACGCTCGGCGACCATATTGGTGGAAAACTTGGACGCGTGTCGCCCCGTATTTTCGCTGACGAGCCAGCGGACGTGAGCTGCACCCGACGCCGAAAACAAGCCATTGTATGATTATGGCATTAAGAAAGTCCTTTCACTAAATCACTATAAAAACCAACAGAACGCGGCAGTCATCTTAATTTTTCCGCCGTAATTGTTTAAGGGCGGTAACAAGTAGTCCGGTGAACATATTTGCAAAATATTAGTTTCATGATGATTACAGAAATGATTTATAAATATTGATACATGATCGTCAACTTAATGACGTTTGTTGTGGAATATAATATAATTCAGTTTTTCATCAACAAAATATTTGGCAAAACATTGAATATCATAAATATGTGTCGTTACGAGGTCTATTCTTAAAATACGCTGAATGTTCAAATTTCGCAAGCAACATACTTTGGATTAGCTTTTTTTACGTTGGTACACTAGTCTTGAACATATGTTCAGAGTTTCAGTTATTCAACATGTTCAGTTTGTTGGTGAGATGCATGAAAATTACAAGTGTATTGCTTGTTCGGCGATTTTCTGCTATCGCAAAATCAAAGAATATGCATCAAATTTCGGTTGAGAAATTGACCTGAGGTCTCAAAAAACACTTGAAATGTTGACAGTGGCATACGGTGATTGTACTCCGAGTCAGAAAAATGTGTAATAATGAATATTACTGAATATTACTGAACCGTTATTTTTAACACTTCGACACGTGTTTCGATCACCAAGTGATCATCTAAAAGTTCAATCTTTATCTTGAAGATTATCACTTGGTGATCGACACATATGTCGATGTGTTAAAAATAACGGTTTGGTGTTGGGATAAAACTCCAGTAATATTCAGGGTCATGACTGGTGACGAATTATGGGTATATGGTTATGACATCGAAACCAAAGTCCAATCGTCCCAAAGGAAGGGCCCAGGAGAGCCAAGACCAAAACAGCACGACAAGTTCGATCAAATGTCAAGATTTTGCTGACTGTTTTCTTCAATTGCCATGACGTACTGTATCAGAAGTTCTTGCGACATGGTCGGGTTAATAAGGAGTATTATCATGAAGTTACGTGCCGCTTACGAATAACAATACGATGAAAACGTCCGGTACTATAAGAAAACATTTCATCAATTTTGCATCACAATAATGCGCCTGCTCACTCGTCACTGCTCGTTCATAATTTTTAAACCATAAACAA